TTTATAGATTTTATAGTAGGTTAATGTTCAGTCTGCAGATACATGTCTAGGAAGCTTCAACTAAGTTGCTGAGACTCATTATAGAGGATGACCTATGCAGTATTTAATTGATTCATTAAACAGATATTTTGCTATTGTTTGTTGTTAAGTACCATCCAGTCGGATCTAACTCATATAAACCCTGTACAAGGTTTTCAAGGAGTACCTGAGGGGTTTGAACCCTTGACTGTGTGATTAGCAGCCCATTGGTTGTCTTACATCACCAGGACATTACTGACTACTGCATCATGCCACTTATTACCCTGGATGATGGATATGGAAGCAGAGAGGAAAGCAGATAGTGTCCTTGCCACCATAAAGTATACTTCAACTGGCGGGAGATGGACACTGCACACATAAATGGCAGCGGTCATCTAAAAAGTGGACTCATGCTTTGAAAATAAGTGTGATATTTTTACATAGTTAATGCTAGGAGAATTTGGATTGAGTGCCAGCAAAAAGCTACGCCAACAGGATAAGATTTAAGTACCTGCAGTGAGAAGCCAACAGAAACTGTGTGTTTGGTGGCATGTATGATTAGAGAAGAGAACTAGTGCAAGGGATCAGGAGAGGACAGGAGACCAACAGCTCTGACGCTGTGACTACGTCAGAAATCCTGGTCCCTGGCAACAGGAAGACAATGAGCACATACGAGGCAAATTTAATTTAGGTATCTCAGAAAGTAAGAGTCATCTTATAACTACTATATGAAGCTTAATTTAGTGAATTAGATACAGGATTTTGTTTTGTTTTGATGAATGTTCTTAAAAATGTATTTAACCTGTTCCTATTTTACTATTGCATGTATGTGTGTGGATGTACGTGAAGCAAGTGAAGATGTCTTACTTACTTTTGAACTGTAGACTTTTCTAGATCCTGAGGAACAACTCTGGTTCTGGTAGAGAGGGTGTTCTTGTCCCAGAGCCCTACACATTTAGAAGGATGAATACCAACTAGGTGAAATGTTAGGTCATCATCTTTGAGGAAGGGTGCTGGAGTGATTATATGAAAGAAGAAAGATGAAATAAATCTTGGTGAAGAGAGTTTCTGCTGTAATGGTGATTGTCAGCAAGGAGCCCAAGCCCATTTCTTCTTCTGAACATATGGATACACTACATTATTTGGTTTCTCCTGCATTTCTCTGTTGCCTCAGAGTTCTATCCATAGACGTACGGTAGTACTTACAGGAGCCATTTTTAGTCCTGATCTCTAAATACCCCACACATGCTCTTCAGGGCTCTTATCTACTGCAGCTGGTCTAATGGAAACAACCTCAAATGGGACCTCAAAAGTCAAGAGCCCCATCAATGAGTACCCCTCCCCTGATGTGTATGTGTACATCACTGTTGTTGTTGTTGTTAACTGTCATTGAGTCAATTCCAACCCATAGCAACACTGTATAAGGTTTCCAAGGAGTAGCTGGTGAGCTTGAACCACTGAACTTGCAGTTCAAATGACTGCAGTCTAATGCGTTAGCCCACAGCGCCACACCAGGACTCCTTTTTGTTGCTGTTAGGAACTGCTGTTACTGTTACATGCCATGGAGTCAGTTCCAACTCACAGTGACCCTGTACAGGGTTTCCAAGGCTGTAAATCTTTATAGGAGCAGAAAGCCTCATCTTTCTCCCTCAGAGCAGCTGGTAGTTTTGAACTTCTGGCCCTCAGGTTAGCAGCCCGATTCGTAACCGCTAGGAGGCCAGACACCAGGACTCCTTTTGTTGCTGTTAGAAACTGTTGTTGTTGTTAAGTGCCGTCGAGTCGGTTCCGACCCATAGCGACCCTGAACAGGGTTTCCGAGGCTGTAAATCTTTACGGGAGCAGAACGCCTCATCTTTCTCCCGCGGAGCCGCTGGCAGTTTCGAACTGTTGGCCTTAAGGTTCACAGCCCGATTCGTAACCACTACGCTACCAGAGCTCTGTTGTTGTTGTTGTTGTTAAGTGCCGTCGAGTCGGTTCCGACCCATAGCGACCCTGAACAGGGTTTCCGAGGCTGTAAATCTTTACGGGAGCAGAACGCCTCATCTTTCTCCCGCGGAGCCGCTGGCAGTTTCGAACTGCTGACCGTAAGATTAACAGCCCAATTCGTAACCACTACGCTACCAGAGCTCTAGGAACCAGTAAATTGGCTCTGGCTCATATTGACCGTAAGCACAACAAACAAAACACTCCTTGGTCTTTGATCACCCTGTGAGTATATATATGTGTAATCTCACCAATATGATGCTATTTCGAGCATAGTCAGGATTCGCAGGTTCAGATGTGGAAATGGAAGCGACGCCATTCACTATTACCTCCTAGTTATTCACTAGCAAATATCTGAGTTTTTGTCTCCAGGGGTGTGCGTTAATGGTAGAGAGGTCTTAGGCTCAAAAGGACCAATGTTTCTACTTGGAAACAGAGCAATGGTTCTTTCAAACTGGAAGGTAAGTTCACCACCCTGCCACAGTCGGTTCCTCATAGCTCTGAATTAAGAGCAAAGAAGAGTTATCGCATTGGCTGTGGTTAATGATTCCAAATACCTGTGGGAATGTAGTCTGCAGTAACACAGTGGTGATAAGGAAGAGTATGTCTTGAATACAGATCTCTGAGGGTACCTCAGTACCATTGTAGTCAGCGATCAGAGTCAATGGAAGCTGTAACAACCCAATTCAGGCAGGTCTATTACTGATCCAGACCCCTCAGGAATGAGGTTTGTGTTAAACCACCAACGATAGAATCTCAAACTGCTGAGATGCTTGGTGAGGGCAAAGATAATATGGAATGGGGAGTGGAAGAAATTTGTTATAAATACCAGATATGAGCATGTGGCCAGTTGCAGAAGTAAAGATTATAATTGTTATGAACGTTTTTTTCCTTATTTTGTAATGAATGTTTGTGCTTGTGTATGTCAAATCTCTTTATTCTACTTCTCTTATCCCTTTACTTATAGTATAACAGTAAGATGTATTAACTTGATACCCTAGTATTTATGAAATGCATGTGGTGCATATAAGAAGCTTACCTGTTGTAAGAAACAATGGGACAAAAACCTGAAGGAGGAGGGGAGGGTTTGAGTTTCACAAGTTTTCCATAAGAAGGAAATAATCTAAATTGTGCCCTGCAGACATTTTAAAGGTTTCCAATCACTAGCAAGGCATGATGATTTTTGAGACAAAAATATGGCAAGTGTGGTTCAAATGTGTTGCTATTTTTCAGCCTGTGGAGTTGGTTGTGACTCATAATGACCCTGTATATGGTTTCCAAGATTTGTAAAAGTCTTTGGGGCAGCAGAAAGTCTCATCTTTCTCTCATAGAATGGCTGGTGGATTGGAACCACTGACCTTGCGTTTTGCAGCCCAGTGCGTATCCTGGGGAGCCACTGTACTCCCGTTGGTTCAAACAGATGTGTGCAAATTTGTGGAAACAAGTCATCTGTGCTCTTCGATCTTCTTGATGAGCATGTATACTTTCTAGTATAAATATGTGCTAAAGAAGCAAAACCAGACTTGTGAAAATGGTATCATTGAGCTTTGGGACTTTAGGAAACCCATCTCACCTCTTGGAACCTCAGGCTTATTATCTTTAACTGGAGGGGAAAGGTCAGACCCTATTCTCCACTGGGCTTTCTACTTGTGAAAGTCTCACCTGGGTGGGGGGCATGCCTGTCACTTCTTTGTCAATCAGCTGCAAGCTCTGTGCCCCTCCCAGCTCAGGGCCACAGAGCAGGATATGGGATCACTGTAAAATGAGAAAGTAAATGCATCAATGTGGCTTTTAAAGGGCAGATCCAAATAGAATGCCAATTTAATATCCACACACACAAAGGAAAATCTTCCTTGAAATTGTCACTGATGGGCTGAGGCTCCTCATGATTAAGGACAAAGGAGGAGAAATAATTCAGAATATGATAACACACAAAAAATATGACTGTATCTAAAGCAATTTAAGGAAGGAGTAATCTTACTGGATTCAATTGAACTGCACAAAGATGCCATCAGTATTACGAAAGTGTGTATTTATGTCTTTTCATTAAATAATTTCTTCTGTGTATGCCTGCCCTACTACTTCCTGTATTCCATCCACCAAGTCTGAAAGAAGTGGGGGATTAAACAGGATGGGGCAGAATATGTCAGTAACTAGGAGTCAGAATCGACTTCATGGCACTTAAAAACAATATAATATTTCCTAAAAAGCCTTGGAATTGGCTAAAGTGTTGGACTGCAAACCAAAAGTGGTTCAAACCCACTAGGTACTCTATGGAAGGAAGATTCCTGTTCCTGGAAAGATTAAAGTTTGTTGTTATTTGCTGTCAAGTCAGTTTCAACTCATAGCGACCCTGCATAAAGTTTCTGAGGAGCAGCTGCTGGATTTGAAATCACCTACCTTGTAGTTAGCAGTTCAATGCTTATCCTAGAGTGCCACCCCAGGACTTGTGGAAAGATTATACTCTTAGAAACCCAGTGAGGCAATTCTACTCTTTCCTATAGGGTCGCTGAGAGTCAGTATGACTTGAAGGCAGTGCATTTTCATTTTTTTGGTACTCTTTAAGGAGACTTGTAGGCATAATGGTTTAGTTCTTTTTTGTACAACTAAGTACATACAAAAAAAAGTTACTGGAATGCTCGGAATAAGATTACAATTTTTGTTGTTGTTGTTTTTGCTTTTTTTTTACAAAGTCTTTTGAGATTATAATGAACATGATACACCACAAGTAAAGTCAGAATTAGGAGAGAGAATGTTCCAAAGGCTGAAAATGGCTGACCACTAATAATATGTACAGAAATATAAAATGCAAATAAAAAAGCATTTTTTTTATTTGCATTTTATATTTTTAACGTACTTTTAGGGTAAAAAAGCATGGTCTTAGAAGTTTGGGGTCTTTTTCTCTCCCTGTTGCAAATTCACACTGTGGTTTTTGTGGCATGCTGGTAAGTGCATTATCTGTGGGTGGTGCTGACCAAAGTGGACAGGTAGGACTCTCTCTACTTGAAGGTGACCATGTTTAGATTCTGAGATGGGAAGTGGAGAGTGGAGGTCACAGTGGCCTTTTTTAAGTTTAACTTTTCCTTTTTTGCCATCTTGTGATCCTTGTCTGTCTTCTGCTTTTTGGTGTCCACATTATCATCCTCAGTGTCTTCAGCTGCCCATTTGCCCGTAGCTGCCTCAGCCTCCTCATCTTCATCTCCATCTTCTTCCTCACCATCACCATCTTCCTCTTCCTCATTTACCTCACTGTCAGCCTCTTGTTCCCCATTTTCCTCATTGGCATTTCCATTAGCGGTTGCATCTCTTCCATACTCTGTTTCTTCCACAACCTCCTCCTTCTCCTTTAAGCCCTTAGTGGTGACCTCAGAGCTGCTGTCCACAGCCATGGCTGTTATGGTGGGCTACAGTGATCTGATATAGAGGATGACAAAGAAAGTGTGAGTTCAGGTACTCTAGCTAGAGAGCTACTGGAGTCTAAGGCAAAGGAGAAGGGGCATGGCAGAGATGGCTGCAGTGAGCAGGAAACTGGACCAGGAACATTTCAAAGATGGCTTTTCAGAGCAGCCAGTGACTTAGTTCTTAACTATTAACAGAAAGATTGGTGGTGTCAGCCCACCCAGCATTTCTGTGGGAGAAATATCTGACAACCTGCTTCCATAAGTACTATGAACTAGAAATCCTGATATTTCCACCACATTGTGTTTCATGAGTCATAAACTTGATGGTGTGGTGGTAGTGTGCTCTGGAGTCAGCTCCAACTCATGGTGACCCAGTATAGGGGTTCAAAAGCAGTAAACCTTTATGGGACCAGAAACCTCATCTTTCTCCCACTGAACAGTTGGTAGTTTCAAACTGCTGACCTTGAGGTTACCAGCCCAACTCAAAACCACTATACTTCCAGAGATCCTTGATAACCAACGTGATAGTAACTACAATTAATGTTTCACCCTTTGGAAGAAAGACCTGGGAATCTACCAAAAATCATCTAATGATCCTATGGATCACAACAGTCCAATCTGCAACCAGTCATGGGGACTGACAGAACTGGGCATCGTTAATTCCATTGCGCATGGAGTTGCCATGAACAGCTAACCACAAGGACATTCCAATACTCTCAAGCTTCTACTAAACATCTTTCCCTTGTGTGATGTTCCTGTCTACTTTCCTGTACCTTTTGTCTGTCTCATTGCCTGGGACTGGTTACCCATTGCCTTCCTATAACAGAGCTGATCTTCCTGACTGCACATGAAATGTCACATAGAAGTTAAAAATCCCACCAAACAACTATAGTCACCAAACCCATGATGGGAGACACTGACCGAATAATCTGATTTTGTTAAATCTCCACTTGTGACTCTGTCTCACATACATGGAGAAATGAGGCAGGCAGGTGATTTCTGCAAATTTTTGGATGTAATATTGGTGTCTCACAACTAAGCATTCTCAATGTTGTGCTATGTAACACCGTTGAGTTGACATTTCCCTCTGGCTCCTTTTTTTCATGTCATCAGACAACGACTTCTGCAAGAATATCATCTCATGCTGACTCAATGATCTTTATCTGCAATGCAAAAAGTTCATCTGCTTTCCTTACGTTTATATTTAGTTCAACTCTGGTGCTATAAAAATATGCAAAGTTCTATTAATGCTGGTCATTTCTGTCTTCTTTTCTATAGAAGATCCCATGAGGACTTTACCATGGCGATTTTAAAGGTTCCCTAAGCTACGTTCACTGTATGGTGCCTTAAGAAAATGGGGTGCGGAGTAAAAATGGAAGGCAAACATCTCACAGGAAATACAATTTTAGAAAATGGTTGCAGAAATAGAAACAGCTTGCAGTAATCTCCATGACCGGCTTTTAGAGCCAATATTAGGCTGGAGAACTAATGGAGGCATGGGGCGTTAGTGATGGATAAAGTGCTATGTACCGCTGGAAGTGGAAATGTGGCCATAAGTATTGAAGGACATGAAGGACATCATGATTGGGACCCCTGAGAGTTACCATTCGTCTCCCTCCCCTTGTCTATCCATTTATCTAGCTTGTTTTTTCAATTGTTGGTATTAAGTGCCATTGAGTCTGATCTGCCTCACAGCAACTCAGCATAGGGTTTCTGAGGAGCAAACTGCTGTCTTTGAGGTTAGCAGTCCAGTGGTTATCTGCACCAAGACACCGTCTTCCAATAACTATATTAATTATTTTTATATAATTTAATCCCAAGAATGAAAAGAGGTTCTTCAAATATGAATGAAGTGCCCTGCTTGGAACAAATAAAGTTCAATAAGCCACGGTCTCTGCATTCAAGGACTTAGCATTGTGAGAATCAAACCAGGGAGTATTTACCATTATTTCTACATATTTATTAAGGAGTCTGAGACCCTAAGAGCTCAAGGAATTTACACAAAAATATAAGAAGAAAACCAACAACAAGAACCATGATTAGAACTTTGACCTTCTGATTTAAAATTTGGGGATGTGGCCACATTCAAAGACAGGCTAATTGTGGAATCCTGTGGCACTATAGGATAAACACAAGAAGACAAGGTCAATTTGAACAACAAGGTCTGCAAGTTGTAACTTACCGCTGTAAACCCTATCCTGGTTTTGCCTATGAGTCAGAACAGACTCAAAGGGCACATAAAAGCAACAACAACATCTTCATCTCAATATAAGTAATGGGTGAGACTAAGAAAAACGTGGTCTAAAAAGATTTTATCTGTTTTTGGGTAGTTGGAGGGGTTAAATACCTTGTGCATATCCTAAGGATCCTTTTAGGAAATGATGGTCAACAGTAATACACACAGTTGATAGCTGAAATTGTGACAGTTTGAAACTCCCCAGCGACTCTGAGAGAAAGGTCTGTGAATCTGCTACTGTAAAGATTGCAGTCTTGTTATGTCACATAGAGTCACAGTAAGTAGAGATTGAGTTGATGGCACAAAATAACATGTCACATATTTCAAATGCAAATCAAGAACTTAAGTTATCTTAACCTGTGCTGATGACCATGGTGGTCAGCAATTTGAGGCCACTGGTTGCTCCAAGAGCAAAAGATGAGGCTTTCTGCTCCTGCAAAAATGTATAGCCTCAGGAACCCTATACAGGGTGCCTATGAGTTGGAACTAACTTTATGTCAGCGACCAACAGCAACAGCAAGCTGTGGTGAGGAGTCTCTGAGTGGAGCAAATGGTTAAGGGCACAGCTACTTATCCAAAAAAGATTGATAGTTCAAACCCTTTCAGAGATACCTGGCAGGAAAGGTGTGGTAAACTGCTTGAGAAAGGCCACAGCTGTGTAAACCTTATGGAATGGTTCAATTCTGCACACATGAGAACACCATGAGTCGAACTGATTCAAAGGCAACTGTTTTTTGTTTTCCTGGTTAAGTTGTCTTGAGATTTAGAGCAAAATGATTGTTGCTACTAACTTACATGCCATCAAGAATTGGCTTCATTGGTTATTGGGAGAAAAGAGAAAGTATGAATCTGTGAAACACAGTTTAATTATCTACATATTGGTTTTATCATGGGGATTGTTATGGCAAAACAAATAACCACACCAAGTATTCAAGTTGGTGGTCTCCAACTTAAAGAGGTGGATGCAGATAGTTATAGCAAGATCAGCAATGATTCATCAAGAGCTAGAGCTAGCACAGAACATTCTCAGGAATGGTGATGGCAACTCAAAAGTAAGATATTTCAGCAAAATTCTACTTGTTCCCAAAATTGCTTGTTTATAGAAGTTTCCTTATATAAGAATGACATAAAATAAAAACTTCTGTTTTCTCCAATGACTTCTTTGGTTTAAGTTCTTGCTATACGCATGGTCCATTCCACTTTCCATTCTAAGAAACCCTCCATGAATATTGAATCCCATAGGAATCTATCTTTTCATGGGAGCTTTAGTGCATTTTTACTCAGAATCAAACTCAGTGTTTTCATTTGTTTTTGTTGTTGTTGTTATGTGCCGTGGAGTCGGTTCCAACTCATAGCAAACCTGTACAGGGTTTCCAAGGCTGTAATCTTTATGGGAGCAGAAAGCCTCATCTTTCTCCCGTGGAACAGCTGGTAGTCTCGAACTGCTGACCTTGCAGTTCACAGCCCGATTCGTAACCACTACGTGACCAGCGCTCCTAGTGTTTTCATTTATTAGTCAATAAATTCACTTATTCAATAAACAATTTAATGACACTTACTTAATGCCAGAACAGTTAACTAAAGGAAGCCAGAATACATTACTAGATAAGGAGAGTATGAACAGAGATATAGTGGCATTAAAGTTTCATGTTCCTGCGACAAAAGAAGAGCTTGACAATAGGTCAATTTTGCATGGGAAATAAAGAAAAACTTCACAGTAAATATATTATTCTCAAACTGGAACATTTATCTCTCCAACTTATAATTGTCTATCATCTGTCAGTCATCATACTATGGTGGCCTGTGAGTTGCAGTGATCCTGAAAGTTATAAACCAGTATTTCAAAAGCAGCAGGATCATCCATGGTGGACAGACCTCAAACGAGCTTTCAGACTATGAAGGAACTTGCCACTGAAAAGTCTTATAAATAGCAGGGTATCATTGTCTGATATATAACGCCAAAGGAATAAGCCTTCAGATTGGAATTTACTCAAAATATAGCCAGGGAAGAGCTGTCTCCTCAAAGTATTATTGTTGTTAAGTGCCATTGAGTCAGTACCAACTCATAGCAACTTGTATAGAGTTTCTGAGGAATGGCAGGTGAGCATGACCTACTGTCCATGCAGTTCAATGCAACCTTGCAGTCCAGCATATTAACTCACTGAGCCACACCATGACTGTTGTTTTTGTTAGGTGCCATCGAGTCGGTACCCAAAGCAACCTTATACA